TCAAAAATGCTCCAAGGAAAAACACCGGGGAGAACACCGATAAAGAAGAAGGGGACATCGCAATGAAGAAACATGAAATCGGGAGGCTCAGCGACGGCGAGGAGTTCGAGGAGCCCAACCGAAGAAGTGCCACCTCCGCTAATCATGTTCCTCGCCTTCGGCGTTAGTCTCAGCCATGGTCCCTCGACCTCGAGGCACATTATCATCCCCTCGGTCTAGAGCCCTCGACCTTGAGCGGTGAATCTTAACAAAGCCGTTGTCAAACAACGCACCCCTTGTATTCCGCTTATTTCTATGAATTTAAGTAAACTACAACACAATCCAGACATCTTATCAGCCCCTTCGAGGCCAAATGCCCAGGTATGGCCGATGGTGTCTAAAGACGAGGGGCCTGCAAAAGGCCCGCATTTTTGGAGCAGGACGCTCGCCGCGTCGCCGGCGCGCAACGCACGGCGACAGGCCTGAAAGAATGACTGAGGTGATGAAATCCCCAAACTTGGGGGTGAAACGGCAGTCGTCGGAAACCGACCGAGCCTAGCCCGCACCGTAAATAGACGACGGGACCCCCCAAGGTCAAGGGACGGTTCAGCGCCGGGGGACTAACAGACGAACCCCCGGACGGATCACTTGGACCCCCTTCCGGCCGAGGCGGGGAAGCAACCCCCTCGGCCGAAGCCTGAAAGAAGGAACACACATCAGGAGGACTAACATACGACCTCCTGGAACAATCAAGGGACGGCCCAGCGCCGGGGGACTAACAGACGAACCCCCGGACGGATCACTTGGACCCCCTTTCGGCCGAGGCGGGGAATCAACCCCCTCGGTCGATGCCTGAAAGAAGGAACATACACCCGAAGGACTCCCGGAACTATCAAGGAAAGGCCCTCGGCCTCAACTCGATTCTACATCACCAATGGCCCTCGGCCTTGGCATGATTCAACGTCAGAACAGCCCTCGGTCTCAACATGACACTATGTCATAACGGTTTTGGCCTTAGCGTGATCTCACATCCCCAACGGCCCTCGGCCTCAGCGTGATTCCACATCACAATGGCCCTCGGCCTCAACATGACTCTACGCCACAACGGTTTTGGCCTTAGCGTGATCTCACATCACCAACGGCCCTCGACTTCAGCGTGATTCCACATCACAACGGCCCTCGGACTCAACATCAGAACGACCCTCGGTCTCAAAATCAACAACGGCCCTCGGCCTCAGCATCAGAATGGCCCTCAGCCTCAACATCAACAACGGCCCTCGGCCTCAACATCAGACGGCCCTTGGCCTCAACATGACTCTATGTCGTAACGGTTTTTGCCTTACATGATTTCACATCACCAAAGGCCCCCGGCCTCAACGTGATTCAACATCAACAACGGCCCTCGGTCTCAGCGTGATTCCACATGACAACGGTCCTCGGCCTCAACATCAGAACGGTCCATCGGCTTTCATCCCTCCGGCATCTTTATTTGATGTCGGGGGCAATCACACAGGTCCCTTGGCCTTCATCCCTCCAGCATCTTTACTTGATGCCAGGGGTTATCATATAGGTCCATCGGCTTTCATCCCTCCGGCATCTTTATTTGATGTCGAGGGCCATCACACAGGCCCATCGGCCTTCATCCCTCCGACATCTTTATTTGATGTCGGGGGCTATCATACAGGCCCATCGGACTTCATCCCTCCAGCATCTTTATTTGATGTCGGGGGGCAATCACACAGGTCCCTCGGCCTTCATCCCTCCGGCATCTTTATTTGATGCCAGGGGCTATCATACAGGCCCATCGACTTTCATCCCTCCGACATCTTTATTTGATGTCGAGGGCCATCACGAAGACCCCTCGGGCTCCATCCCTCCGGCATCTGTATTTGATGCCAGGGGCTCTCACACAAGCCCACCTGGCCTTGCACCCCTTTGTCACCTTTATTTGATAACGGGGGCGGGGGGGGGGGGGGGGTCCTTACAAGATCCTTAGCTTTTTCATGCAGGAACTAAGGCTGATCTTGGATATCCCCTCAGTAGACGGACACAACCGCCGCTCAACAATCAAGGCCGAAGGGTGCACTCCTTTTGCTTCATTCTGAGGGCATCCGGTGTACTCTTTTTCCCTCATTAGGATTTTTCCCACAGGGTTTTTTCCTAATGAGGTTTTTAACGAGGCATCTCCCCATTGTGGAACAAAAGGTGTCACCCCTCGGCGGCTCCTGTTGAAGGCATGCATCACTCTACTCCTGTTTCCCTCGAGAAACTCTCGGCAAAAGGAGTGGGGGACTGGGGGATTCCCCTCGGCAAAACACGCAAATGTTAAAGATTTTCTATTTCTCAGCTACAGCAAGCTGAGGCAAGATCACAACGGCAATCTACTCCCCTCGACATGATGCCTTCGGCTTACAGAATGCCTCCGGCCACACAATGCCTTCGGCCACATGATGCCTCCGGCCACACAATGCCTTCGGCCACATGATGCCTTCGGCCACATGATGCCTCCGGCCACATGATGCCTCCGGTCACATGATGCCTTCAGCCACACAAAGCCTTCAGTCAACAAATGCCCTCGGCAAAGCACACAAATGCAGATCTCTCATTACTTTACAAACTACAACAAAGAAACACATACGAGCAACACACTTACACTCCCTTCAGGAAGCTCTCAGCCCTCGACATATGGGGGAATTGAGAAAATGAGGCACCCAACAGAACAAGGAAGCCTTCGGGGCAATCACCACAGCTACTGCTTTTCCCTCAAGTACCTTTCGGCAAAAGGAGTGGGGGACTCCTGATGGAGTATATGGCCCAGGGACCCCCGGCCCACATACTTCCTCTACTACAATCAGGCCCAACAGGCCCAAGCGGGCCAAGCCCAGCAAAATGGAGCTCTAAGCAGCCCACAATACGCAAAGGGGTGCCTTCGGCCCCATGGCCGAAGGCTACCAGTGACAGAATCGAGCTCAGAAACATCACAGGGGAACAAGGCTTGAAAACCAAGCCTTCGGCACCTGCAGCCCTCGGCAGGTAGGAGCCCTCGGTTAGAAGAGCCTTCGGCCCAGCACCCTTCAGCCGAAGGCATCGACCTCGACAGAATATCCTCTTCACATGCGCCTGGATCACCGTACCAAGTACAAACGTCACATCCAACCACCGCATTTAATGCGGCTACATGCGAGTGCCAGTGCCACCCCGGTCGAGGTGACCCCTCGACCACCAGAAAACTGACACGTGTCCTTATCTAGCATTTATTACTACTATAAATAGCACCTCATTTCCCCATTTGTAACTCAGAAGAAAAATACGCTGAATACATATCGAATATACACTCTTTCTCTTACTTGTTTGCTCTGACTTCTCTCTAGTTATTCTCCGCAATAACCCCTCGGATAAGCTACCCCGGGTACACTATCCATCATCACTCTAATGTTTTTCCCTTTTTTATGATGTCCCTTTCCATATAAGTATCATCACGGGGAGGTATATGAGCAGAGGTAGGACTAGAACTAAGATCTTTTCACATATCATTCCAAGACTCATTTCTCGCAGAGTTATTATCCATCTACTAGTTCTCATATGTCTCATCAATACTAACATGGGGAATATGTGTATTAGGTGGAGACTGAATATACACATCACAAACTTCATCTTGCAAAGTTTGTTGTGGCAAATTAGATACGCAATTGTACTTAAGATTCTCATCTCCTCATAAGAGAAATGTTGTTTGTAGGTGTGCAATTCAAGCAAATGGTGTCCATAGACAAAATTAATTGTGTGAAGAATTTAATGGGTTTTTAATTTTAAATATATTGCTTCACACATACACATGTTGTTTGTGACCTAATTGACAATTAGTGTATGAGCATCCAAACCGAATATGTGCACATTGTATACTTTTTGTTTGCAAAAATAATACTCCGTGTAGTATTTTATTCCATTTATCTCAAACCGAATGTTTTTACTTGGAGTGTAATTTCTCCCAGACTAGACCAGATCAGATCAGACCAGACCAGACCAGATCAGTTAAGACCATACTTGGATAGTTATAAAAATACAAAGAAACCAGATCATACCAGTTCAGATCAGGCCAGACCAGACATGTAAATTAGAGTCCAAGTAAAAAGCATCCTTACAATTCAGGGTTGATTTGAAAATTGACAAAAGAATAAAATTTAATCTTCATTGCAACTATTTATATTCTTTCTTCGCAGAATTATCTTCAAACTTTTCTTTTTGACTTGTACCATAATTATCTTTTCTTTGTCTTTTTTATAAAGAATTTGTGATTCACGTGGTTATTTTTTACGTATCCCTTTAGTTTAAGGGATGAAGTATGTAGTAGTATTCCAGTAATCGTATGAATTGCCTAAATAATTAGCCAGAGAAGACTTTTGATGTTCCCATAGCAGAGTTTCATTTCATGCTAGCAGTAATTTCCAAGTTTACAGCTCGAAAGTCGAAACCGACCACCCTCATAAATTCCCCACCCTTCACCCCCATTAAAATTCGGCTATCAGGCCTGATAACTGTCCAAGTATGATCTTAACTGGTCTGGTCTGGTCTGGTCTGATCTGATCTGGTCTGATCTGATCTGGTCTAGTCGAGGCCGTTTGGCCACCCTCATTTTCGGCTTATTAGGCTTATCAGCCAACTTTTTTACCAAACACGTAAATTTTGCTTTCGCGCGCTGAATTATGTAATAAGCCGAAAAAGTAAGGTTGGGGTTACTTTTCTGGCCGTATTGGCTGAAGTTACTGTAGATGACTATTTTAGCTATTTTTACATATAATTTTTTCTTTATTTTATTAATAAAATATATTTTAAAAATATTTTTTTCTTGTATCAGCAGAATCAGCCAATGCAGCCACTTCAGCCAGAACTTCATAAATTTCAGCAGAATCAGCCACCAATTTTTGTGTTGCCAAATGGCTCTAAATATGAAAGAGCAAGAATCACACTATAAAATGCCTTCAAAATCACCACCATTTCTTCTCACTTGTCTCTTTAGTTTCACTATCTTCTTTACAGCCTCCCAAATATCCAGTAGCACGTCGTTTTGCAATAACAAAGCAGCAGAGACAATGGCGATTGTAATCAAAGAAGTTGCTATCGACGCCCCCATCGTCTCCTCCTACAATGACCGCATCCGGCCATTGCTGGACTGCGTTGACAAACTTCGGCATTTGAAAATAGCCCAGGAGGGGATTCAACTTCCGACCATCGTCGTCGTCGGAGACCAGTCCTCCGGCAAGTCGAGCGTTCTTGAATCTCTCGCCGGCATCAGCCTTCCCAGGGGGCAGGGCATATGCACCAGAGTCCCTCTTATAATGCGACTCAAGAACGTCCCCAACCTCGCCCAGCCGGAGCTCCACCTTGAGTTCAACGGAAAAGTCGTTCAGACAGACGAAACCAGTGTCGCCGATGATATTGTTCTGGCTACTGACGAAATTGCTGGAAGAGGGAAAGGGATTTCCCACACGCCGTTGACGTTGACGGTGAAGAAACATGGCGTGCCGGATTTAACGATGGTTGATCTTCCTGGAATCACCAGAGTCCCTGTTCACGGCCAGCCGGAAGATATTTACGAGCAAATTTCAAACATCATAATGGAGTATATTTCCCCACAAGAGAGCATCATCTTGAATGTTCTCTCAGCCAGCGTTGACTTTACAACCTGCGAGTCAATCCGTATGTCCCAGAAAGTTGATAAAACAGGGGAGAGGACACTGGCCGTCGTGACGAAGGCTGACCGTGCACCAGAAGGGCTGTTGGAAAAGGTCACCGCCGATGACGTGAATATCGGTCTCGGCTACGTCTGTGTCAGAAACAGAATAGGAGAAGAGTCTTATGATGAAGCAAGAATGGAAGAAGCCAGGCTGTTCCAGACCCACCCTTTGCTGTCAAGAATTGATAAGTCCATTGTTTCTGTTCCAGTCTTGGCTCAAAAGCTGGTTAGAATCCAGGCGACCATAATCTCCAAATGCTTGCCGGAGATTGTTAGGAAGATCAATGACAAGCTGTCGGCGAACATGGCTGATCTAAACAGCTTGCCGCAAAATCTCTCCTCTGTCGCTGAAGCTTTGACTGCTTTCATGCGGATTATCAGCTCTTCGAAGGAATCTCTCAGAAAGATTCTGATAAGAGGTGAATTTGAAGAGTACCCTGAAGAAAAAATAATGCACTGTACGGCTAGGATGGTGGAGATGCTGAATGCATACTCCGGGCAGATTCAGGCATACCGCTTCAGCTTTGAAGGAAACACCAACTTCTTGATGGATGATATAATGGCTTTGGAAGAGGCGAAAGAAATCGGGCTGCCGAACTTTCTCCCTCGTGGTGTGTTTCTGAGCATTCTCCAAAAAAGGGTGAAGGGTATTTCATCAATGCCGAGGGATTTCATCGACAAGTTCTGGGATTATATCGAAGGGATCGTAGTGAAAGTTCTGCAGCAGCACTCGGAAAACTACCCCCAGCTTCAAGCCTCAATGAGAAGGGCTGCTCAGAATGTGATTTCCAAGAAAAAGGAAAAGTCTTTCCATTGGGTGAAGGAGATCATTGGAATGGAGATGCTGGCTGATTACTCATGCAACCCGGAATACACTGCAACTTGGAACAAGCTGATGGAGAAGCAGCAAGAGTTTCTTGATATTCTGAATGACGTCTCTAAGGGTTCGAAGATGAGCATTGACGGAGAGGAGGTTGAAATCGGGCATCTCCGATATTACCGGGACAATGTGAAACAAGCCTTTGACATGAGGATGAGGATTATGGCCTACTGGAAGATTGTAATGATGAGGCTGGTGGATTCAATGGCTTTACATATTCTGTTCAGTGTCCAGAAGCTGGTGAACAAGGACATGGAGGATGAGATTGTTGCTGATCTGATGGCTCCACACGGAGGAGGAATAGAGAGGATGTTGGAGGAGTCTCCAGTCGTGGCTGAGAAGCGTCAGCGTTTGACTAAGAGTCTTAAGCTGCTGAAGGAATCGAAGGACGTTGTGGCGAACATAATGGATCGGATTATGCTCAATGATGGCCCTATGCATTAGTGAATCATATCCATTTGGAATGAATTTAATAACTCTCTGCTATATGCCTAGATGCATGGCATGACTTTGTCTTTTTTTTCTTCTTCTTTTTGCATGGCATGGCATGGCCTTGTTTTGATGATTTGTTTATCATGTGACTGAAGTGATTCAGCTTTTTATCTTTATAGTCGAATGAATCATTCTAAAATTTAATAGCTTTTTATCTGTATAGTCGACTGTTTTTTTTTTGTTTTGTATTTTCTTCTTATGGAAGAGCCTCGTTCTTTAAATTTCCAAAGACCTCACTGAGTCACTGTACAAACATATTGGAAGGAATATTTTCTATGGAAAAATCGAATGCCCTTTAGAAGTATTTCAAGAGGATTTTCATGCATTATGATATCAAAATAGAACTACTCCGTATTATATTTTAAAGTTTTGGGAATCTTATTTTTCTCTTTGGATCCATACTGGAAGAATAAATATAAATGAATGACCTTCAAATTGGGAAGAAATGTGAAAAATATGGTGATGATCCAGTAACCAAAAGCCAATTATAAAACCATGGAATTTTTGTATTGGGTTTATTAAGTTAGACCTTAGCTTCTCCCACAACTAGAAAAATAACGTGTCTTGCACAAAACCAGTTTTAAATATTCATTCGTATTTATTCTTAATTTTTGAATTATATATAGTGTCTTGCACTATTGGTATATATTCAGGACAAGTAATGCATCTTTTAATAAGATTTGAACGAGTAATATCAATATGCCGCCATACTATTCTTAATATTAGACTTGAAGTTTGAGAATTGAAAATCAGGTATGAAGAGGCCACAATATAAGATCAGTAATCGGTAGTATATGGAAATGCTGCAAATATTGATGTTACATAGAAAAGAACCGAAGTGCAAATAGTTAATTAGCTAAGTAACTATTAAATGTTACTTTATCCCTGCGTGGATAATTTTACTATAAATAGAATAATAGAAGCTGTTGTCAGTAGGCTGTTATTTGGTTGTGAACTTGGCTTTTGGAGATTGGACATCTCGAATAGTCCCTGAACACTGTATCCCCATGAACTGTTCAGTTGGAGAATAAACCATTCGATCTGATCTTCTATTTTGTTATTGAATTCTTACTTTTCTGCTTGAAAGTATCTGTGATCTAACACTGGTATCAGAGCACTCGTTCCTGGTGATCGGAAGTGTTCCGCGATCCTCAGCAAATATTACGTACGGTGGTGGATGGTACGGACGAGAGCCAAAATGGAGTTTCGCGTAGAAACTGTGGAACGGAACATCGCTGAGATACAGGGAACACTGTTGGAGGTACAGGAAGGAGTACGATCAGTGGTTGCTGATCAACGTGTTGCATTGGATAATTTGGCGGCAAACATGGCGGCATCCATAGCCGCGTTGACTGAACAGCTGCGATCCAGAGAGAGATCGCGATCGCAAGTCCGAGTTCACACGCGACGATCTTACAGCCCTGCGACCTCAGGAGGTAATCCAGACCACTCTTACATTCAAAATCACAGAAGGACCGAGGATATTCATAGATTTCCAGTATACACAGGCAGAAAAATTGATTTACCGGTTTTTAATGGGGAAGGTGCGTATAACTGGATTGTGAGTATGGAGAGATACTTTCGATTGAATCATATTAATGAAGAAGAACAGGTGGAAGCTGCATTAGTTGCGATGGAAGGTAGGGCTGTGAACTGGTTCATTTGGTGGGAACATCAGACGGAAAGAAAAAATTGGGAGAATCTGAAGGCTTCTATGATTCGGAGGTTTCAGTCAGATTTGATTCAGAATCCTTATGGACCCATGCTTAGCTTGAAGCAAACTGGAACTGTTAAGGAGTTTAGAGATGAGTTTGAAATGGTGATAGCTCCTCAAATCAATGTGGATATGGAGATCCTTAAAGGAATTTTCCTTAATGGTTTGAAGGAGGAGATAAAAGCTGAACTTAAATTACATAATTCCACAGCCTTGAGTGAAATTATGGACAGAGCCCTACTAATTGAGAGTAGGAATGAAGCTATATATCAGAAGAGAAAGGAGGAAGACCGGGTACTTGGGAAAGAGAAGGGGACTCCAGCAGTGAAATCACAAGTCTGGACTGAGGGGTACAAGTCCAAATTTTGCAATACTGAACCTCATAGTACTGAGAAGAATGGGGCAGACAGTAAGACTAACCAGCCTTGGTTCAATTCAAGGGGGACCAGAGTTACAGAGATTCATCCCTCAGGTATCAGAAGAGTGGGTCCTCAGTTGTCTCAGGATGAGTATCAGGAAAGGAGCAGAAAAGACCTGTGTTTCAAGTGTGGAGAGAAGTGGAACAAAGAACACACTTGTAAACTAAAAAACTACAAATTAATACTGGTAGAAGACTCAGATAAAGAGGAGGAAGAAGAAGGAATTGGGGCTGAAATTTCAGAAGAAGAAGAGCAGGTTATGGAATCTAAATCTATGCAATTGTCTCTCATGAGTAAGGAAGGTATTCCTTCTATGAGAGCTTTTAAGGTTCAAGGATGTCTAAGATGGAGCAAGGGTGAAAAGGAAGTGGAAGTTTTGATTGATAGTGGGGCCACTCATAATTTCATATCACAAGATCTGGTAGAGCTCTTGAAACGGCCTCATACCATTGTTTCAGGATACAAAGTCCAAATTGGGAATGGGGAGAAGATTACCAACAATGGCAGATGTGAAGATCTGATTTTATCTATGCAAGGGACTGATGTAAAGCAGAAATTTTATATTCTGAATTTGGGAGGGACTGATTTAGTACTGGGAATGGAGTGGTTAACCAGCTTGGGAGATGTGGAGATAAATTTCCAGAAACAAAGCATTAAATGGAAAATTGAGGGGTTGGATCAAAGCATACAAGGAGACCCCCAACTAAATTCTATAGAGGTTTCCTTGAAAACAATGTCACAGATAATACAGGATACTGGGGATGGATTTATTGTATATCCTGAAGGGGGTTCAGTGCTAGTGGAAGGAGAAAAGGTGATGGATCAGATCTGGAAGGATATTATGGCTGAGTTTCCAGAAGTTTCCAGACCCATACAGGGTTTACCTCCAAACCGAGCTTGCAACCATGCCATCAACATTAAAGAAGGAGCTGAGATCCCCAACATTAGACCCTACAGGTACCCACAGTATCAGAAGACAGAGTTTGAAAAGATCATTAAAGAGATGCTGAGTTCTGGAATTATACAGCACAGTAACAGCCCTTACAGTAGTCCTATTTTGTTAGCTAAGAAAAAGGATGGGGGCTGGAGGTTTTGCGGTGATTACAGGGCGTTGAATAAGATAACTATACCAGAAAAATTCCCTATACCTATAATTGAGGAGTTATTGGATGAGCTAGGAGGAGCTACTATATTTTCCAAGTTAGACCTCAAGTCTGGTTACCATTAGATCCGGATGAAGGAATCTGATATTCAGAAGACAGCTTTCCGAACACATGAGGGGCGCTACGAATACCTAGTTATGCCTTTTGGGCTTACCAATGCCCCCTCCACCTTCCAGGCCCTCATGAATAAGGTGTTAAGGCCATTCTTAAGGCAGTTTGCCTTGGTATTTTTCGATGACATCCTGGTATATAGTAAGACTGAAGAAGAACATCAGGAGCATCTGAGAAAGGTTTTCAGAGCATTAAAAGAGAATGAGTTGGTGGTCAATCTTAAAAAATGCTCTTTTGGACAGTCACAGTTGGTATATTTGGGGCATATCATTTCTGGAAAAGGAGTGTCAGCAGATCCTGCCAAAATTGAAGCCATGGTTAGCTGGCCTGAACCTAGAGATTTGAAGGGACTGAGAGGCTTCTTAGGGTTAACAGGCTACTACAGAAGGTTTGTAAAAGGGTACAGTCAAATTGCCTTACCTCTTACACAACTTTTGAAAAAGACAGTTTTGTTGGGGTGACAAGGCTACTCAGGCATTTGAACAATTAAAGAGAGCTATGATTTCAGTACCTGTGTTAGCTACACCCGACTTTAATAAAATGTTCATTTTAGAAACAGATGCATCTGGGACAGGTCTGGGGGCAGTCCTAATGCAAGAAGGAAAACCAATTTCATACATGAGCAAGGAATTATCAAAAAGGAATCAGAATAGATCAGTTTATGAAAGAGAGCTCATGGCTATTGTTTTGGCAGTACAGAAATGGAGACCTTACTTACTTGGCAGAGTTTTTGAAATCCATACTGATCAAAGGAGCTTAAAGTTCTTGACTGAACAGAGAGTGATGGGGGAAGAACAGCAGAAATGGACTTCAAAATTGCTGGGATACAACTTTATCATCAAATACAAACCTAGGAAGGAGAATAGGGCTGCAGATGCCTTATCCAGAAAGTTGACACTACAATCCTTATCCATTGTCACCTGCCAAGAGTGGGAAGGGTTAGAAGAGGAATTGAATTCAGATTGCAAATGCAAGGACCCGATTCAGAAGATCATATCACAACCAGATGAGTACCCTGATTTCCAGATTATAAAGGGGTAATTGTATTACAGAAAGAAGTTGGTGTTGCCAAGGGAGTCCCCAAGGGTATTAAAGATTATGAAGGACTATCATGAATCTGCAGTGGGAGGTCACTCAGGGTATTTTAGGACTATGAAAAGAATCTCCAATTTGTTCTATTGGCATGGTATGAGGACTGACATCAAGAAGTATGTGGAAGGATGTGCTACCTGCCAAACCAACAAATACCAGGCCCTTAAGCCAGCAGGGTTGCTACAGCCCCTACCAATTCCCAGCAACATATGGACAAATATCAGCATGGATTTCATAGGGGGATTGCCTAAATCTCATGGGAAGGATACGATCTTGGTTATTGTTGACAGATTAACTAAATTTGCCCATTTTTTGGCCCTCTCTCACCCCTATAATGCAAAAGAAGTAGCTGAATTGTTCACAAAGGAGGTGGTCAAATTACATGGTTTCCCTAAAACTATTGTAAGTGACAGAGACAGTCTGTTCATGAGCTCTTTTTGGTCAGAATTATTCAAGTTGGCAGGAACTCAGTTGAAATACAGTACAACATACCACCCTCAGACTGATGGGCAGACTGAGGTGGTTAACAGGTGCCTAGAGACCTATTTAAGGTGCATCACTGGTAGAAAACCAAAACAGTGGAGTCAATGGTTGCATTGGGCAGAGTTCTGGTACAATACAAACTACCATTCATCTCTGAAACTAACTCC